CTCTTGCGTTCCTAGCGTCCTCGGCAGTCCGCGGCAATCCCGTGTGCCGCTGGAGGAGGAGGTGATGATGATTCTGATGATGATGACGATGACGATGACGATGACGATGATGATGATGATGATGATGATGATGATAATGATGATGATGATGATGATGATGATGATGATGATGATGATGATGATGATGATGATGCTGATTATGTAACTGATAGTGGTGGTGAAAAATCATGGTGTTGGTGGTGATGATGATGATCATGTTGATGATGATGGTGATGAGGATGAGCATAATAATAATAATAATAATAATAATGATGATGATGATGATGATGATGATGATGATGATGATGATGATGATGATGATGATGATGATGATGGTGCTGCTGCTGATGATGCGGATTATCATGCTGGTGCTGATGCTGACGACGGTTCTGCTGATGATGCTGATCATGATGATGCTGCTGCTGATGATGATGCGGATGCTGATGCAGATGATGATGGTGATGGTTATGTTGATGCTGCTGAAGCTGCTGATGATGCTGATGTTGATGCAGACGATGTTGATAACGATGTTTCTGATGATGATGACGATGATGCAGTTGATGAGGATGAGGAGGAGGAGGACGACGACGACGACCACGATGACGATGATGATTATGATGATGTTTTTGATGATGATGATGATGATGATGTTGACGATGATGATAATCATGGTGACTATGATTCTGGTGATGATTGTAATGATGATGACGATGACGATGACGATGACGATGATGATGCTGAGGATGAAGACGATGGTGATGGTGATGCTGCTGATGATGATGATTCTGCTGATAATGATGATGATGATGATGATGATGATGATGACGATGATGATGATGGTGATGATGATGCTGATGCGGATGACCTTTCATCTGATACTGATGATCATGATGTCGCTTCTACTGATGTTGCTGTCGTTGATGATGATGACGCGGGTGATGATGGCGATGATGATGATGATGATGATGATGATGATGATGGTGATGCTTCTGTTGATGATGATGGTGATTATGATGCTGCTGCTGATGATGATAATAATGATGATTGTGACTCTCACGATGTCGATGACGATCGTGTTGTTGATGAAACTGATGATAATGCTGTGGCTGATGTTGATGCTGATGATGCTAACGAGCAGGAGGAGAGTGACAACGATGATGATGATGATGACGCTGTTGATGATGGTGGCGATGCTGAGGTTGACGATGACGCTGATGATGGTGATGCTCATGATGCTGCTGGTACTGATGCTGATGCCGATGACGATTCTGCTGATGATGCTGATTATCATGCTGCTGCTGATGATGATGACGATGATTATAGCGATGATGATGCTGATGATGATCATGGCGATGCTGCTATTGGTGATGATGCTGGTGAAGATGATGCTCTTGCTGCTCTTGATGATGATGATGATGATGATGATGATGATGCTGATAGCCATGATGATGATGCTGACGATGCTGATGACGATGGTGTTGTAGTTGATGGCAACGGGGAAAATGATGCTAGTGATGATGACGAGGATGAGGAGAAGGACGACGATGCTGCTGCTGATGCTGACGATGCCGATGCTGATGATGAGGATGATGATGTTGATGATGCTGCTGATGATGCTGATGACGATGATGCTGTCGATTCTGATGATGATGATGATGATGATGATGCTGATGATACTGATGGTGATGATGACGATGCTGCGCCTGCTGCTGATGATGATGCTGATGATGATGGCCATGATACTGCTGACGATGGTGATGAAGATGCTGATATTGATGCTGCTGCTGATGACGATGATGTCGATGATGCTGCTGATGATGATGATGAGGATGATAATGCTGATAATGCTGATGCTGCTGATGACGATGCTGCTGCTGATGATGATTATGGTGTTGATGACGAGGATGATCGTGATGATGCTGCTGCTGATGCTGATGCTGACGCTGATGCTGATGATGCTGACGACGATGATGTTGGCGATGGTGACGATGATGATGATGATGATGACGATGATGCTGATGATGCTGCTGTTGATGATGATGATGAGGATGATGATGGTGACGATTGATGATGATGATGATGATAATGATGATGATGACGATGATGATGATGATGATGATGATGATGATGATGATGATGATGATGATGATGATGATGATGATGATGATGCTCATGATGATGATGATGCTGATGATGATGATGATGGTGGTGGTGGTGGTGGTGATGATGATGATGATGATGATGATGGTGATGGTGATGGTCATGGTGAAGAGGAGGAGGAGGGAGAGGAGGAGGAGGAGGAGGAGGAGGAGGAGGAGGTCGAGTACGACGACTGCAGCGCCACTTTCTGCTGCTCCGCTTTTGCTTTGCACGGCTGCAGTTGCTGCTCTTCTTCCCTCCTTCCCTCGCGGCCGCCCTGTCCCCGAGGAGGGCTCGGCCACTTACTTCTACCGCGACAAGGCCAGGGGGGCTTGGGCGCGGGGGTGGGTGGGGTGGGTGGGTGGGGAGCCGACGAGAGGAGGAGGAGGCCACTGGGCGCTGCCTCTCTCCCCTCCTCCTCCCTCCTCCGCGCCCCCCCCCCCCCCACCAGCGCTTTCGTGACCCGTAGCGCTCCTGACTCCGCTAGCGCCTTCGGTGGTGGACGCGACCGGAAAAGTAACCCCACCAGTTGCGGTGTTAGTATTATCTCCTGGGGTGTATTGCAAGCGAGCTGCCTCCTTCAGGGGCTGGGTGCATGGATGTCGCGTGTGGTTTAACCTACGTCTTGTCCTCCCCCTTAGTGGTCACTTGTCAGCTCCGCTGTTTGTGACCTTTCCGCGTCATTTTGGCCGCGTTTAGCTCCTTGGTCCAATTCGTGCATCAGCGCCGCCCCCGGGTCCTGGTCCTGGCTGCAGTTTGCATCGCCCGCCGGCAATGTTTCGGGTTCTGCCCCGCTTCCTGGCTCCACCTCGCGCCGCCCGGCAGCTTAGGCAGCTTAGGCAGCTTCGGTTCGGCCGTCGGTCCCCGTGCGCTATGCAATTAGGCTCGCGCGTAGCCCGCCCGACCTCTGACGCTCCTGGCGTTCTCGCCTGCGGCCAGGACGAAAAAAACTCCACCAGTTGTGGCCCCCCGGCGTTATCCTTTGACATTGGCTTCAGTGACAGCAAGCACAAGGGCCTCTCCTTGGACGATGCTCCCGACGGCGCGGCGTGAGTCTGGCCCGCACTTGTCGCCCCGCGCGTCGGTTGCTCCGTTGTACGTTGACTGAGTGGGCGGCTGATTGCTTGGAGTCAGTGCCTCTTTCGTGTTGCTGGCTACGTGGTAGATGCACAAGACTCGCACTGCCGACGGCGTTGGTGTGTCACGGTCGACCCTGGTCGTTGAGTTGTTTGGCGACGACGAATTCGTTGGGGCGAAGGTTGCTGGGACAAGTTCTTCGAGGACAAGTTTGCTGAGGTCCCCCCTCCGCACGTGGTCCCGGCCTTTTTTCCTGTTCTTCTTTGGCTTCTGAGCGTGCTGCTTGTTCGCAGCTTCTGTCTGCGGCCGCTGCCTTTAGGCTCGCTTGACCCTTGCGACGGCGCGCGGCTCTCCCGCTTGCGCTCGCGAGCAAAAAGTAACCACACCAGCGCAATTTAGGCTTCTGCTGGTTAGCGGTTGCTTTGCACGGCGCGCGGCTTTTCCGTTTGCGCTCGCGATCAAAAAACCCACCAGCCCATCCAGCAACGATGCCCCGACGAGTAGCCTTGATGAGGGAAGTGGGGGAGCATGCAAAGGAACAAAGGGCCAGGGACACCGTCATACCCCAAGAGGAGGACCATGGAGGAATCGGAGGAGGAATCGGAGGAGGATGGGGAAGGGGAGGATGATGAGGAGGATGGGGGGGATGAGGGCCACGAGGAGCACGAGGAGGAGGAGGGGGAGGTGAGGAGGGAGGGGGGATGATGAGGAATAGGCGGATGAGGAGGAGGAGGAGGAAGGAGGAGGAGAAGGAGGAGGAAGAGGAGGAGGAGGAGGAGGAGGAGGAGGAGGAGGAGGAGGAGGAGGAGGAGGAGGAAAAGGAGGAGGAGGAGGAAAAGGAGGAGGATGAGGATGAAAAGGATGATGATGAAAATAATGAGGAAAAGGACGAGCAGAAGGGCCAGAGCCCTCTTGGGTGCCTCTCGTATTCTCCTCGGATGTCTCTTGGGAGCTTCCTCGTGGGCTGTTGGGGCGTCTTGGGGGCCTCTTGGCGGTCCCGGGGGTTTATTGGAGCGTCTTGGGTGTCTCGGGGTGCCTTTTTGGGCCTCTTGGCGGCCCCTTGGGGGCCGTTTGGGGCTTCCTACTCGCTTCTTGGGGCCCTCTTGGGGCTCTCGGAGGGCTCTCTCGGGAGTCCTGGGGGGCCTCTTGGGGCTGTCGTGGAGGGTGTCGGTGAACAGAGGGGAGCGTCCTACCATTTAGTCCCCCCTCTGGAGCCATCAAACTAGCCTTTTGGGACGCTCCTCGGCCTCTCTTGGGGCGATATTGGGCGGGGTTGGGGCCGTCTTGAAGCATCTGGAGCCCCTCTTGGAATTCTCTTCGGCCATCTTGTGGCCACCTCGACGCCTCGGAAACGAAAAGGGGAAAAAGGCAAAACTCATTGATTCCCCCAAGGTTTTTGAATGTTTTTGGCTTCCCTGGGAGGTCCTGATGGGGTGTCCGCAAACACCTGGAACCGTCTTGTCGCCCTTGCGGGGCCTCTTGGAGGCATGCTGTTAGCTATCTTGAGACATGTAGGGGAAGTCGAGCGATCTTGGAGGCCATCTTGGGCTTCATGAGGCCCTCTTGGAGCAATTCCAGGCTATCTTCGACGCCCTGACACCTCGTGGAGCCTCCCGTCCAGGTCCAGGGGAGGGGGTATGGGGGAGGGGTCAAGCTACCCACCCGCCCGCAAGCCGTCTAGCTCACTCCCACCCACCCTCCCATCACATAAGTAACGCCCGAGCCTGAGCATGTTCAGCGGTCGTCATTGGATGGGCAACTACTGGGAACCAAAGCCGACCCCAGGTGCGCGACGCTTGGGCGAGGTGCGCCACGCGTGCCAGGGGCGCCACGCGCGCCAGCCAGGCCCGAGGGTGCCAGGCACGCCTGGTGCACCAGACGCGCCACGTGCTCCGAGAGCGCCAGGTGTGCCGCACACTCCAGCCGCTCCAGTGTGGGTCAGGTGCGCCTGCGTACGTGACAGCACACATCGGGAAACATCGGCCCCCGCCATCCTTCTGATGTGTCTGGTGGGCCTGCGCACAGCAGGTCACGCGACACCACTCCCGCCGTCCCTGTCAAAGACCACTTGGCAGTGATCGCGGGATGGCCGCGCACGATCCAAATTTAGCTGGGCGGTGCATGTTGCATTCTTTTCTGTCAGGGATGGTCGCCCTGCGCGCAGCAGGGAATACGCTGACACCCCTGCCGTCCTTGTCAAAATTATGCTAACGGGGTTCCCCACATAAAGATATTAACGGTTTCATGGGACTTATGGGGTACGGCAACATTAACACGAAGGGAAAGCTCATCGAACGAGTAAGTACGCACGAAAGGGCAGGCGAAAAAAAGGAGGTGGGAGGACAGGTGCTCAGGAAACGAAGCCTTGCAAATACTACGGTTTCTTGATACCCTCCTCGCTCTGGCGGGGCCCCGCTGGAAGGGGGGAAGGCTGCGAAACCTGGTAAAGAGTAATACTTTCCGCGACCCTCCTCGTTCAAACGCGGCCTCTCTGGAGGAGTGGAGGGGGGACACGAAACCGTGTAAACTGCATTGTTTCCGATACCCTCCTGGAGGAAGAGGAGGAGGATGAGGAGGAGGAGGAGGAGGAAGAGGATAAGATGGATGATGGTGAAGAGCAGCAGCAGTATCATCGCCATCATCATCAGTACCATCATCATCATCATCATCACCATCGTCAGCATCATCGACATCATCATAACCATCATCATCATCCTCATCATCATTAACATCATCTTCATCGTCAGCGGCATCGTCATCATCATCATCGTCGTCGCCATCATCGTCATCATCATCATCGTCATCATCATCACCATCACCGTCCTTGTCATCATCATCGTCAGCATCATCGTGGACGTCATCATCATCAGCATCATCGTCGTCATCATCACCAACAGCACCAGCAACGTCAGCTTCAGCAGCAACATCATCATCATCACCAGCATCTGCATCATCATCCTCGTCGTCGTCGTCGTTGTCATTATCGTCATCGTCATCATCATCATCATCATCATCATCATCATCAGCATCGTCATCATCACCCCCACCATCATCATCATCATCATCATCATCATCATAATCGCCGTTATCGTCATCGTCATCGTCCATCACCATTATCGCCATCGTCATCGTCATCGTGAACAGCAGCATAACCATCGTCATCACCATCATCATGATGAAGCCTTCCTCATCGCAGAACTCCCCCTCCTCCTCACCCTCCTCACTGGGAGGAGTAGGACGTGAGATGGATAGGTCATGTTCTCCCCTCCTCCTCACCCATGTCAGTGGGAGGGGCACGAAACCATTTAAATAGTGTGGGTTTCGGATACCCTCCTCGCTCAGACGGGCCCCCCCTGGAGGGTTGGGAGGGTCACGAAACCATGTAAATAGCATGGGTTTCCAATACCCTCCTCGCTCAGGCGGGGCCTCCCTGGAGGGGTGGGAGGGGCACGAAACCATGTAATGACTATGGGTTTCCGATACCCTCCTCGCTCAGGCGGGGCCTCCCTGGAGGGATGGGAGGGGCACGAAACCATGTAAATAGCATGGGTTTCCAATACCCTCCTTGCTCAGGCGGGGCCTCCCTGGAGGGGTGGGAGGAGCACGAAACCATGTAGTACCGGTTTCCGATACCCTCCTCGCTCAGGCGGGGCCTCCCTGGAGGGGTGGGAGGGGCACGAAGCCATGTAAATAATACGGGTTTCCGATACCCTCCTCGCTCAGGCGGGGCCGCCCTGGAGGGGAGGGAGGGGCACGAAACCATGTAAATTGTATGGGTTTCCAATACCCTCCTCGCTCAGACGGGGCCTCCCTGGAGGGGTGGGAGGGACACGAAACCATGTAAATAATATGGGTTGCCGATGCCCTCCTCGCTCAGGCGGGGCCTCCTTGGAGAGACGGGAAGGGCACGAAACCATGTAAATAGTGTGGGTTTCCGATACCCTCCTCGCTCAGGCGGGGCCTCCCTGGAGAGGTGGCAAGGGGCACGAAACCATGTAAATAATACAGGTTTCCGATACCCTCCTCGCTCAGGCGACCCCCCCCAATGGAGGGGTGGGAAGGGCACGAAACCATGTAAATAGTATTGGTTTCCGATACCCTCCTCGCTCAGGCGGGCCCCCCCTGGAGGGGTGGGAGGGGCACGCAACCATGTATATAGTATGGGTTTCCGATACCCTCCTCGCTCAGACGGGGCCTCCCTGGAGGGGTGGGAGGGGCACGAAACAGTGTAAACAGTTTGGGTTT